TCTTTGAGATGCTTCTTAATTGATGAAACATTTGTGATTTTGTTTTTCAAAACTGAGGTCACTGTCAAAAATTATTCCCAGTTGGAAAAATTATACCAAAGATCATTTAATTTCTTTTGTTCTGTTGTTAAAATAGCATTACATTTGGTGAAGAGAGCATTATGACTTAATTAGGACTCGGAACTTGACTTGGGACTATACTATGACATGGTCTCACCTCTGATATTTATGTCCCACTGCTGCTCTTGAGAGGTCAAAGGAGGACAAAATATCCTAAAAAGAGAATGCCTGTATCATCGCAGAATCTGCTGTTTTTTGAAGAATGGATCAGAAGTGGAAAAGGGGGATGGCATAGGAAATGAAAGGAAGGACAGCAAGGGAGAAGACGGATAGATCCAGATGAGGTAACATTATTTATTTAAAGCTATAATTTATAAGGGCTGCTTTATCATTGTCCCCCTCCTGTGATGCCTTCAATATTTAATGTGACAAATTAAATATGGGACAAAAATGGGAAAATATAATGTATTTGCCATTGTGGGCGCCAGAGTCAATGACACAACTGATGAAATGAGATCCTCTGAGAGGTTTGTACTGGTGTTCCTAAAGGTAGTTTTGTTTTTAGGCATACCTGTGAGAACTGTGTGGCCGTGTACCTGCCAGCTTTCACTATACCTGCATTAAATGTAGGCCAGAGGCCGCAGGTGCACTCTTACTTGTGCTCATGTCATCAAAATAAATGACGGATAATTACTTTTGTGACAGTGTGGCAATTGAATTATCGCCAGGAAAACAACATAACAGATTTGTTATGCTCTGGCGAGCAATAACACACCAATCATAATCAGTGGCTGGGAAGACACACAGAAATCTGCATGGGACGCAATTCAATTCCTGGTCCCAACTTTCTGTTCGCTAACCAGGTTAAAGTTAGACAACAACATTAAACAGTAACACAAGGATGTTGTTTGTGTTAGCTGAATGAGGATGATTGCTTGCCTAAGAATAAGAGACGCAGCAGGAATGGTTGCTCTTCACAGAAGGTTTATGTAGCATATTCATCACGGGCCGAGAGTGAAATAGTTCTTCATTTATAATAAAATAATATCTAAATGGCCTCATTCAAGAGCAGTTTGATATAAGGATTAAGTCTGCCTTTGACATGTCCCAGCACATTCTGCATTATTCACTGTCTAGAGCAGCCCCTGGAATTTTCCATTGTTTCCTTTTTGCCTATAAGGTTAATAAATTTAACCAATATAGTTGAAATGATATACAAATTTATTTTAAGAATATTGGTTGTTCAAAGCTCATGGAACCTTGCTAGGCAGCTGGACTCGTGACATCATGCAAGAATCCATCTTGCAAGGCCTAAAGCTATGTACTTGTGTTCAGACCACAGTGGTTCAGACCAGTCAGCGTCCCATGAGGAACTACTGGCAGATATGGCATGAGCTACAGGCGTGGTTTAAAGAACCAGTGTGCAGGGTTTAGTGGCATCTAGTGGTGACATTCCAGATTGCAACTAACATTGCATCCATTTAGAAGAAACTACAGTGGCTGTGAAACTCGTGAAAGCCCTATCTAGAATTGGTGTTTTCGGTTTTTTTTTGTCTGTTCTGGGCTGCTGTAGAAACATGGCTCCATAGGAGCAACCTCATCAGTTTGAGCCATGGGTGCTTATATATGGGTGGATTCAAAGGCAGCAGAAAGAAACTGCTAGTTTGAAACCTTTGCTGTGCTTACTGGGCAATTACCCTGACAGTCAGGCGAACATGCAAAGTCTGAGGAGAAAGGATGCAATTACCAATTTTGTGGGGTGTAGCAGAAAAGTAATATAACTATGAGCAGGGAGTAAAGTAATATTACTTTGACTTCTGAAAAAGTAATGAGTAATAAATAATTATTACAAAAAAACTGCTTTTCAGTGAATGACAAAAACAGGCAAGTTGCTCCTCTGTGACCCATGAGTCCACATTGCTGTGAACTGATTATTAAGTGACTGTTAACTGCCAACAGTTGTTGTTTGGCACGAATATCAGATGACCATTTATGTTTGTGTGTCATGGCTTACATTTGTTCCAGTCACTGACAGTATATATAATGGACAGAGCCAAAGCAGAGTCAAAACTGCACAGCCAATGAGAGCAGCTCAACGTGCAGTATGTCGCGTCTGCTGCTACGCTGGCTCCGTTTTACTGTCATGGTGGCTACCAAAATGCAGAACTCGAGGCTTCAAAACGGTACTTCACAAACCAATGGGTGACGTCACGATAGGTTCTCACTTGGTTCCTATGGAAGCGAATCGTGAGCAAAATTTAAATTTAAATGCATTTGCAGAAATGCCTTTTCATTTTAAGAATGTGGCTGCATTATTTGACTCATAAATAAAATTAATAATCAATCATCCTATTTGCATTTTAATTTTCTTCTTCAAGACTGCTCATTCTTTTACTTAATTAAAATGAAAAAGAAAAAGACATTTGAGATTTAATTTTCAAAATATGCCCCAGCAAATAGATACCGAAATTCAATTTGAAATGTAAAATTTGAAAATTAAAATGCATTTGCAGAAATGCTTTTTCATTTTAAGAATGTGGCGTAAATAAAATTAATAATCACTCATCCTATTCGCATTTGCATTTTCTTCTTGACTGCACATTTTATGCCATCATCAAAAAGAAAACAAAGAGGAGATTGCTATTTCGTTTTTGTGGTCTGCCCTGCAAAATAGTGCCCATAATTCAAAAAGGATTTGGCAATCTGAGCGGCGCAGGAGAGTGACGTCAGTAGCCGCTCTTCTTCAGCTCCAGTAGAGGGCGGTGTGCACATTTCATATATCGACGCATGGAGTTCAAAAATCTGGAGTTAAACAAAAAAGTGCTAAAGTGTTAGATTTTGGGAGTTTATTCTCTACATTTAACTACAGCTTGTGTTCAGGGTAACTCTTTGGCGGAGTGATATTTGGGTGTTCATTCACTGGGTGTTGAGGAGCCTGATTCAACACCTGAGTTCACAGCTTTGTCCCGCGCTCCGCTCAGCAGTCTTCACTTGGACTTCACCGTGACTCTTGAGCCAGGTAAAAGTGCAATTTTTCTTCTCAAACTAACGTTATATTAGGCTGTGCATGACTTTAAGACGATGATAGGACGTATAATAACATACATTTGTATGTTTTGTCATAGACTGTGATGGCCGAACTTGCAAGCAGCTAGCTGCTGAAGTTTGCCCCAAACTTGTTGGGACTCGTTAGGCAGGTAAAAGTGCCATTTTACTCCTCAGACTACCGTTATATTAGGCTTCTATCAGTATAATAACGGCACATTTCTATGTTTTGTCATAAACCTTTGCGAGGCCAAACTCGCTAGCTAGCTAGCTGTCAACTCGCTAGCTAACGTTAGCTGTTGAAGTTAATGTTTGAACTTGTCGGACCGAGCTTAATATAAATCGATGGCTCCACTCATTTTACTTGTTTGTACTTAGCGCTTGGAATTAACATCATACTCTCATTACTGATATTTCTTTGTGTATTTTAAGTTAACATTAGCCTACACTGTTTCTTCTTCTGTTGATGTATACTGAACACGTTAAGTTGTTTTTTCCTTAGTTGACTCGACACGGCTAGGAGGACCATAACAGACTCGAGAAAGGGACCAGCCAGATATATACAGTTCTGCTTAAGACAACAGCCGGACAGCTTGCACCGCGACTCCGTCTCGTGTTGGAGAGGCTGTTGTAACGTAAATGGCAGAGTCTTTCTGGATGTCAGTGAATGTGTTAGATACTTGTCAGCGACTTTTTTACAAGCTTAGAGGCTGTCTCTCACAGCTTCCAGTTGTGGTTCAGGAGGCAGACACCCTCACCACATTCAAGAGTAGGCTTAAGACATTCCTCTTTGATAAAGCTTATAGTTAGGGCTGGATCAGGTGAGTCCTGAACCATCCCTTAGTTATGCTGCTATAGGCCTAGACTATCGGGGATTTCCCATGGTGCACTGAGCTCCTCTCTTCCTCTCTTTTTCTGCACTCATTCATGTCCCATTAATGCATGTTACTAACTTCACTTCTTCCCCGGAGTTCTTGTGCTTTCTCGTCTCGCAGGTTCTTATCGATCCTGGTGGAGCCTCCTGCCATGGTCCTGCTTGATTGCCATTGCCAATACTGTTGTTGCTGTGCACCTGTCTATCTGTCTGTCTCTCTCTCTCTGTCTCTGTCTGTCTTTCTCTCTCTCTCTCTCTCTCTCTCTCTCTCTCACCCCAACTGGTCGAGACAGATGACCACCCACCTAGAGCCGAAGGATCTGTCCTAGGTTTCTGCCTTTTAACAGTCTTGTCCCCGTCGCCAAGGTCTTGCTCATGGTGGTACTGTTGGGTCACTGTAAATAATGTTATAAAGAGTTCGGTCTAGACCTGCTCTATTTGAAAAGTGTCCTGAGATAACTTCTGTTATAAATTGGCGCTATACAAATAAAATTGAATTGAATTGAAACATTTAATTGAATCTCTCAATCATTTTCGTTGTAAAGACATGACTGGGACCACTGAATATTATGCTAAGCATGCTATAGATTGAATAACAGCTACTACAAAGACTCTTTTGTTAGAGTGACAGTCCACATGTTGCTTTTATTACTGGTTAAATTATTATTTTTCCCTCAAGTGGTCAAGATGTTGTTGAAGGTACAACAAGGATGGACAAAGAAGTATGTGAAACTGGAAGAGATCAGCTTCTCAGATCTTATCAATGCAGGTAGGTGGTGTACCTATGTCTTGTCTGATGTCATTAAAGGGGAAATAATAATTTAATAATGTGTTGAATGTTGTGCTTCAGTGCAGCAGAACTTTATCATACCAGAAGATAAAGTGCTAAAAGTCACAGATGAGCAGGGCATAGAGGTGGATGAGGATGTCTTTCCAGAACTTGCAACAGAAGCAATGTGTTTTGTTATCTCCACTGATGATGGTAAGGGGATTGAAAATTATGAGATGAGAGCTGAAACCACTTCCTCCAGCACCTGTTAGCATCAGTGTCCAGGAATTAACTCAAGGACTGGAAAAATGGCTTTCAACCTGCAAAACTCCATGGAGGGCCTCATCAGTGTGTTCCATTCCTATTCTGGAAAAGAAGGTGACAAGTACAAGCTGAGCAAAGGTGAAATGAAGAACCTGTTGCAGGGAGAACTCGCCGACTTCATGGCACAAAGACCCCGACGTGATTGACAAGATTATGGGTGACCTGGATGAAAACAAGGATGGTGAAGTGGACTTCCAGGAGTTTATTGTTCTGGTTGCTGCACTGAGTGTCGCCTGCCATGAATTCTTCAAAGACTGCGATAAGAGCTGTGTGAAAGACGAGAAGGACCATGGTTCTAAGAAAGACTGAAAGTATATTTCACATTAAATCAATAAAAATGTTGGATGTAAAAAAAAAATTTTTTTGAACCATCCCTTAGTTATGCTGCTATAGGCTATCTTCCCCGCAGTTCTTGTGCTTTCTCGTCTCGCAGGTTCTTATTGATCCTGGTGGAGCCTCCTGCCATGGTCCTGCTAGATTGCCATTGCTAATACTGTTGTTGCTGTGCACCTGTCTGTCTGCCTCTCGCTCTCTCTCTCTCTCTCTCTCTCTCTCTCTCTCTCTCTCACCCCAACTGGTCGAGACAGACGACCACCCACCTAGAGCCGAAGGGTCTGTCCTAGGTTTCTGCCTTTTAACAGGCAGTTTTTCCTTGCCCTTGTCGCCAAGTGCTTGCTCATGGTGGTACTGTTGGGTCTCTGTAATTAATGTTTTAAAGAGTTCGGTCTAGACCTGCTCTATTTGAAAAGTGTCCTGAGATAACTTCTGTTATGAATTGGCGCTATACAAATAAAATTGAATTGAATTGAATTTAATTGAAAATGTCTGGGTTTGTTTGTTTTTTGCAGAAAAGCTTTTACAGCTTTGTGTTAATGTTGTCTGCCTACCACCTTGTGGTAACCTTGTCCTCCACAAGGAAAACATGTGAAGGCAAATATTGTTGAGTTAATTGTGTTATTTCCACTGCAGAGTGGGACATGGCTTCTCTTCTTGTCTTGCTGCATCTTCTCATCCCACAACCAGCTGGAAGGAAGAGGCCCAAGAAGATCAGTGTCATAGAGGCAACAGATCATCTGGTGAAATTTAAAAAGGTTTGTGAAGACAGTACGATCTAATTCCAAATATTGTGGGTCATGCAAAATTTTTTAAACTAAAGGCTTATATGTAGATGCGTGTCTTTGTGTTTCAGTCCTGCCAGAGCCTGGAGGATCACCTCATGACCACTGAAGGAAACCCTCAGCACTATCTTCTGGCCTCAGGGACTTCTAAAGTAAAGGTTTCCAGCTTCTACATAGTCTTGGATAGAAAGCTTCTTCCATGTCAGTCATGTACATCCTTGGGTGCATTTGATGAGTTGTTCAAGTCCCACTTTGTTTTCAGTGTGAAATAAGATGATGCTCTGTCCAGTCTGTACACATTTTTGCAAACTACTCTGTACAACATTGATATAGGTACAACAGAAGAAACACCAAGAGTCAAAGAGCTAAGAGCAAAGCTGTTGAACAAGAAGTAATTAGCTTATCCAGAAAAAATGCTCAGATGTTTCCTTTGTGCTTCATCCTTTGGTACAGCGTTACTTTTGTTGGGATGTACCCTGGGAAAAAATTGAGACTAAAATGTGGTCAAGTAGGATGTTGCTTGCAATTTTCAAGTTATTCTGGATTTAGAAGACACTTGATTAAGATACATACTTCTGGTGATAACACCTGTGTGCCTCCTGAGAGGGGGTCTAGCCATGACAGCCAACAGCACAATAATTCTCAGTGCTTAAATGATGGAACACCCTCTACTTCATCCCAAATTATTGAGGCAGGCCCTTCAGTGTCAACTCACAGCAAAGATATGTGCCTGATGTATGATTCACATTTGTATGTCAGAGGGTTGTATTATTTAATGTATTAACATAACAACTATATGGAATTCACCCTTGTTTTTATGTACATGTTTATGTACTTAAATTACAGGTTTAAAGTCTACCTCATGTTAATACATTCCTGCATGACAGAAAAGTTCTTTGTTATCCTGTCAGACATTTGTGCAATGCTTTTATACTATGCACTTTCTGCACTTTTCTTTATGCACTACAGAAAGATGTGGTACTGACATGATTTTTGAAATAACTGCCTGTTCCAGCTGTTTAGCTGCTGTTAAAGCAGTTTGTTTTAAATGTGAATATGTCTGGTTGGTTTGCTGTAAAATGTTTACAGTTTGTAATTCAAAATGTCACACATGGATTTGAAATAAAAATGTGTGGTAATCAAAGTTTTTTGTAGTCATTTTCACCTAAAATATTTTTTGTGTTTTTAAATATTAACTCAGAAAAGTGTTGAATACAAACCTATTTTTAAGTGTTGACTGTTAACACCATGAAAGAGTTCACATTAAAATGAACTCCAGGTGAGAATTGTATTTTACCCCACATGGGATTAGTTTTTTAACTCCCACAAGTGTTCAGTTTTAACTCAACTCCCGGAAAAGAGTTACTTGAACTTTTCCCTGGAGTACATTTGATGGTCTCACATGTACATTCCAATATAGCCGATTCTGTGGTCTGTCCCGGGAGCATGGTCTCTGACACGGACCACTTGGTCTCTGGCACGGACCAGTGGTTGCAACCACTAGGTAGGTGCGCTAAAGTCACACCAGTGGCACAGCGGTCATGACCAGCTTCTTACTGGCACAAAGGGCTCTAAAATGACTGGTCCTGACCACCTCCTATGTGATCTGTTCTGTTGTTTGGACCAGTTGAGTGATCTGTGGAGTGTTTGTTTGTTTGTTTGTTTGTAATTATTTTTAATACAACTTTTCCCATTTCTCACTGTGTTAGCAGAATAGCCTAAATGTGAGAAGCCATAATGGTTTGTCTATCCAATGTTATTGATCACTATTATTAATGGAAATCATAATAGCAATGATTAAATTAAAGCTGCAAGCAGCATTGGGTGGGACCTCGCACTCCACACAACTCGGGGCGGAAGTAAATCCGATAAATTCCCTAGAGGAGTTTGTTCAAATACAAGGCAAAAAATTAACCGAAAATGAATGAAAAATGGGTTCTGTGGGTGGGTACCCACAAGTCAACCCTTGACAGACATGCATGCTAATCCCATGCAGTATGAATATGTTATTTTCTCTGGGGTCCATAAACAGTATTGGAATTACATAATTTGGTATAACTGGAAAGCTGAGACTCTTGTGGATCCAATGAGCCCAATTGTATTCATGTGTGATGATGTTCGTCCATAGTAGCCATTTCATTGTAACATTTTTGTAAAATGAGCTATTGTGACCTCTAGGATAATCACAGCCTCATAAAAGCATAGACTAGATCCAGAGGATGGATGGCTATCCTAGCTATATTGACACCACTGATTTCTTGCCATACTTTGGTCTTGGTTGTACAAAACCTGTAGGCTAGGCTAAGGTTGACATTAAAAAGTTCACTGGCGTATTACATCATTCAAATTCACCACTGTGTATATCTAGAATGCTTTAACATCAGCTGACCTTGATACTAGTGCAGCAAGGTGCCACCTTCTGTAATTCACTAATTTCTACAAGAGAAAACTGCATTGGGAATCGTCTTACTCCACTGGCAGATTTTAAAAGTCAAAATAAGGCTGAATATAAGATCAAATTCCTCGTAAAGATGAGTGTGTGAATAGATCCAAATGGAAAGCACACTTGGATGCGTTGAACAGCTGTCAGGGCATGTAAAAGCTCAGAATCCTCAGACCTCTGACTGTGTCATCCCTCCTCTCTCTCCTGACTACAGCATCTGCATAATGCATCCTGTGGTATTTGCCACGACTGGCTGTGGTTGTGGATGAGGGGAGCGGATGCCTGCCAGTCATCCAGTGCACAGCGTGACATTTGTTCCTCTTCAGTTGTCATGGGGACTCACTGATGTATTCAGTCTGCTGTTATCGAGGGCTTGTTTGGAGGGGTGTGACACTGCAAATCCAACCCTCGAAACCTCTCTCCATGAGTGACCGTTCCGCTCCTGTGAATTTACCACTTTCACGCCGCTTATTGTCTAATTTATCCTGCACCTGGGCCACTGCGAGGACAAGGCTGCTTCAGGAGAAGAGATCCCGCAACACTATAACAGTACACACCCACACCCACACCCACACCCACACACACGCACACACACACACACAGCAGGTCATCAAAGCCACTGAAAGCTTATCTTTTACAGGCCTGTGAAACGGATAACACTGTTCGATACTATTAGATTTAAAAGCCTAACCAGGGACAGGGGCTGCAAATTAGCTTTATCTTATATTACATATGCTGCATTGCCTATCCTTATGTAACAATTCAATTAAATTAGATTTTATTTGTATAGCGCCAGTTCATAACAGAAGTTATCTCAGGACACTTTTCAAATAGAGCAGGTCTAGACCGAACTCTTTAGAACATTATTTACAGAGACCCAACAGTACCACCATGAGCAAGACCTTGGCGACAAGGGCAAGGAAAAACTGCCTGTTAAAAGGCAGAAACCTAGGACAGAGGTCGTCTGTCTCGACCAGTTGGGGTGAGAGAGAGACAGAGACAGAGAGAGAGACAAACAGACAGAGAGACAGACAGGTGCACAGCAACAACAGTAACAACAACTACACTAATAGTAGTGACTGATGATGATGAACATGACAACAGCAACGATGGGGGCCAATGAGCAGTGACAATAGTAATAATAGTAACTAATAATAATAACAATAATATCAGTGATATTAGCAATGGCAATCTAGCAGGACCATGGCAGGAGGCTCCACCAGGATCCATGAGAACCTGTGAGACGAGAAAGCACAAGAACTCCGGGGAAGAAGTGAAGTTAGTAACATGCATTAATGGAACATGAATGAGTGCAGAAAGAGAGAGGAAGAGAGGAGCTCAGTGCACCATGGGAAATCCCCGATAGTCTAGGCCTATAGCAGCATAACTAAGGGATGGTTCAGGACTCACCTGATCCAGCCCTAACTATAAGCTTTATCAAAGAGGAATGTCTTAAGCCTACTCTTAAATGTGGTGAGGGTGTCTGCCTCCCGAACCACAATTGGAAGCTGGTTCCACAAGAGAGGAGCTTGGTAACTGAAGGCTCTGGCTCCTGTTCTAATTTTAGAGACTATAGGAACCACAAGTAGCCCTGCATTCAGAGAGTGCAGTGTTCTAGAGGGGTAATAGCTCTTTAAGATATGAAGGGGCCTGACCATGAAGAGCTTTGTAGGTGAGGAGGAGGATTTTAAATTCTATTCTACATTTTTATTTTAACAGTGTTTATATGTATGGTACCTGTTAAATATTATTAAATGAAATGGCAGGATCATTTAATCCAAACTACATGTTGCAGAT